TGCAGTGCTGGGGCAGATGGAAAGTCCCACAGGAGCACGGGGGCGGCCCCTGCTTACTTGGCAATGGCCTCCCCCCGCTCCCCCCCTCCATGCCCTCCTGGCTCAACAATTGGCTGCAGGAGGACCCCGGGTGCCCCCCGACCCAGGAGGCACCAGTGCGGGGGGTGGGGAAGGTTCCCCCGCGCACTCCTCGGCAGACCTGGAAGTGGACTGGAAGTGCTTCTGGTCTGCTTCCGGGTCCGCTGCCGGGCACACTGTGGACCCCTCCCATGCTCCCGTGGGATGCTCCATCCACCCTAGCATCTCAGCATTCATGAGCCGCCTGGTACCTTAAGGCATGTAGAAAAAACATTTAAAGCTGTGTCTATGTCTGAATCATTGAATCTCTCTGAATTGATTTGGAGGATTCCAATCTGACTCGGGGAGATTAAAGGGTCTGCTGATTCGATTCAAATTCAGAAATTCATCTGCTGAATTTGGCTGAATCTCTGCCAAGTCGAATTAGCAACCAAAACTTTGTACAGGCCTAGAGAGCAGTGCCCTGCAGCTAAGTCTGTGGAAGGGAAGAAGCATGAGGGAGGGCAGATCGAGGTCTCCATGGTGAGGGAGGGGCTGAGGCTGGGTGGTGAATGGGACCCTGGCAGAGTAGGACAGAGCTATGGATGGCTCATCCAGGGGATCAGTGTTCTGGTGCTTAAAAATGGCAGCAGAGATGCTTGAACTAAAGCTCATTTGATGAGCTTTAGTTCAAATGTCCTGCTGCCATTTTTAAGTCCCAAACACTGTTCTCCTGAACAAACCTCCCACAGCTCCATTCCGCACCTGCCTCTGCCCTGCCCCACTCCTTCCCTCACTGTGGTGGCCTCGATCTCCCCCCCTCCATTCCGCTTCCCCTCCACAGACTTACATGCAGGGCGCTGCTCTCCACACTGCCCAGCTGTATTCCTGTAAATCAGCTACTGGATCGGTATCAGCCGATATGCTGATCAGCTATCTGTATTGGCCAAGATAATCTTTATCATTACACTCTTAATTTTTATATTTTGTACAAATAAGATGCCTTTAGAATGTCTGATATCAAAATAAAATCTTGTTTCATACTATCAGGTTATACAATTATTTGAAATATATTTTTAAAACTGAGCCCCTTGATCTCTTGATTTGAAACTGAATTCCTTATTTGAGAATAGAGTTGCAGGTTCAGGATGATCAACAGTGTCTCTTTGCCTTTACATTGATCATCTCAGCGACACCAACAAAGATGACAATGGACACTAGCACACCTCCAAGACAAAATTTATCTGGCCATGAAAAGACTACACAAAGAAGATCATCACTTAGTAGCCAGGTAACTCTTTCGAGAAGCATCTCTACATTAAAATCTATTGTTTTCATTTGTTGAAGACCCTAGGTTTTGCATTAATTTTTTCTAGAGTTTGAATAGTAAGTACATGCATTTTCAGTAAGGGTATCAAAACAATTTGTGTTTACATTAAAACATAAGGGGACTTCACACAGGTGGGCATATGCCTAAAATGTTTTCAGGATTGAGGTCTTAATTCTGTTTTTACTCTCCTGTAACTTTTCACGCAGTAGGTGTATTAAAGCTTTTTAAAAGTTATATAGTTCCTGCTTCCCTGATAATAACAGAAAATGAAAACGAGCCATTTGTCATTGGCTATTTGTACCCCAATTCAGTTGCATAAGGTGGTTGTGTTTCCAGGGAACTTTTAGTATTTAAGATTTCAATTTATTTTTACAGTAATCATTATCAATTAAATATTGAAAACAAATAAGTGTCCTTGCCAGTCTTGCAAATAACATTTCTACAGCACTGCAGTTCTAAAAGTCCTTCTCCCCCCTTATTTATGTTTGTTTTCTTTTGACATAGTTCTCAACAAGGAAATTCATGTAATCAATTGAACATTCATATTCATACTGCTGCATATTTCCGAACATTGCAGGGAACATTTATTTCTTAAATTATTTCCTCCTAAAATATTAAAGCATATAAATGTCCTATAGGGGTGTAGGTTGTAGCCATGTTGGTCTAAGGACATAGGCAAACAAGGTTCTTTGAGTCAATCTGATATATTTTACTAGACCAACTTAAATAGTTGGAAAAAAAATTTCTTAGCAAGCTTTTGGGTTTTTTTTAAAAACTCTTCATCAGGCTGAGGAAGCCTCTGCAGTTGGTTTGTGCTCTTCAGATTCACCCAGAGAACCTTGTCTGCCTATAAACATCCTAAACCTTTTTTAAAAGAAAATTTACACTTTTTGCCTTCTTGAAATTGATGGTTTCCCTGAGATTATTTCCTCAAAGTGTGGCATGCACTGTACTGATTATTGTGATATACATTTAAATTGCAGTCTTTAAGCTCTCAATCCGCTGGACAACCATTAGTACAGCCAATGATGTCTCAGTCTTCATCTTTACAGATCCAGCCAGGCATGTCCCAGGTATGGATTTTTATTCATATACTGACCAGCTTTTTCAGCAACAAATCAAATTTAGCTTCAGAGGATTAAAGGTCTTTCTTACTAAATTAGCTCTGATGGAAGTGTATTTTATTCCAAGCACCTTCATTTCCATTCTGTTACTTTCCTCTGTATAAGAATGATTAAATTTACCTGAAAAGAACAGATGTTCCATTGATTTTTTTTTTTTTTATGGGTACAAATAATTGTTTTTGCAGTTTGTCATTTTGACATAAAAGTACTTGGTTTTCTAAAAGATCCCTATGTCCAAATGAAAAATTACTAGTGCAAAAAAGCAGTTTTAAAAAATCTTTCCCTTAATATACCAGAGTTTAATACTCAATTAATCCTCTTTCAGATTTGTGAGGGGGATGAGAGACTTGCAATGAAGTGGTATGATGATAGGGATCTATTCAGTAAGAAACAACTAATGTAAGGATCTTGGGCATCAGATTATGAAAACAGATTATTATAGATATCACACAGGTTTGAAAGGTATGTGCTGGTTAAATGTGATAGAAACGAAAGTGAAAGTGATGTGTTTGTTTTATATGTTGATGATTCCATAGCCTGTGGAAAAATAAGAAAGCATAATATGAATACAATCATCTGAGTTCAAATTACTTTAGGGAAGGATAGGAGGCTTATCTGAGATTGAGTCTGAATGTAGATACAGGTCCCTAATGTTAGCGTGACACTTCATGTGAGTATTTGTGGGAGACTTCAACTTCCCAGATACAGATTTGATGACAGATGCTCCTAGTAGTAATGATAGGATACAGTGGGGCTGAGGCTGGGGCTGGTGCTGGTCTGTTGTTTAAAAAATAAGAACTTGTGCTATTTTAGACCAGGTTTTGGTAAATAGCAAGAATGTTAACAAAGAGGTGGTCATAAAAAAAAGTGATCACAAAGTTAGCTCAGTTTAAATTAAGGGTCTACAGGTCTTGAACTAAGGGTTTTGATTTCAAAAGGGCACACTTAGAATTTTAGGGAACCAGGTAATGAAGCAAATAGGACTGAGAAGTGAGAGATTTAAATGTAAAAAGGGCTTGGAAGTTCTTTAACTCAAAAATGTAAAAACTGTCTGTATCTTAACTCAGGAAAGTGGGGGAAGTACTTGATGAAAGGGTCTCCAAACCAAACTGGATGAATTATCCCAAGAGGATGTTAGGATAAGCAGAGAGCCCAAAAGGAGGATGGAGAAGGGTTTGAATCAGAAAAGAATCCTGTATTTAACACATGAGAAAATGTAGGGATAATATGAAAATAGTTATGAAGGCACAGTGAGTTAGGCCTGGCACCATAAATTTAAATAGCAAATGGCTCTTCAACCATACAATTTAAAGGGAGAACCAGGAAAGAGCAAGTGTGGTCATTATGCAATGGTAGATTAAAGATAATATAGGTATTAATATAGAATGTAAATTAATGTTTTGCCTCACTTTTCAGTAAGGAAATGATGTGAAATGGGAGAAGGCAGATCAATAATGTGAAGCAGGGCATGGAAATGGAAAATTTCACATCCAGGGTGGAAACAAGACTCCAAATGTTCTCAAGACAAGGAAATTGAATGATGATTGATTGACTGCTTGCCCACCCTATAGGCATTGTTGGGACAGAAACCTTGCTTATCTGTAGAGATCCTGGTTTTCTCTGATTAAAAAAAAAATCCCCAATTTTTGGATTAAAAAAGTAACCCAAAATCCACCTTTTCCTGTGATTAAAATGAAATGTCACTAATACATAGATACATATATAGTGGTGTTTCATTTTAATCATGGAAAAATATGATTTTCGGGTTACTTTTTTAAATCTGAAAATTGGGAT